TCCCTCTCTCTCTCCCCCTCCCTCTCTCTTTCTCTCCCCCTCCCTCTCTCTCTCTCTCTCTATCTATCTATCTCTCTCTGTCTGTCTGTCTCTTTCGAGGAAACTCTCAGGGGTTGTGTGAAAGTTGATATTCGCAGTGCGCGTGTTGCAGCCTCGCTCCATGAAGCCGACGAATCAAGAATCGTTGGTACCCGACCCTAAGGCGAGTATCCAAGATGCACAGTTAAACGCTGTTAATCAACACGGAGTCGAGCACATGTTTTCCTGCGAGATCGCGTATCAATCACGATCGTTTGGTGCTGCTAATGCTCACGATTTACTCGGACGCTCGAACAAGCAACCACGTCGTCTCGTTAATAGATTCATGAATATAACGACTTGCCCCTTTCATATGCGACGCGAGAGCCTCAGCCGCGAGAAGCAGCCCACTCTTCGCACTATCGAATCGTTCGATAAATAATAACTCGAGGCATTTCACAAGATTTCCTTTCCTTTTTCTCTCTTTTAGATTTTATCGCCAACGATTCACTTCACTTCATCGTCGAGGACACACGAGTGACGAGGGCGCGCCACTTTTCCCGTCAGTCGCATGCGCGACACGTTTCGATTCTTATAGAAACTGGACACGTGCGGGACGAGTTTGATTAGATTTGATTCAATTTCGCAGTCAAAATTGGAGCGGGAACCACTGCCATTTTTTTCACCGTACGGCACGCGGAGACGTGTGGTTCACGCATCAACCGATAGGCCACTATATCCAACGAATACTGAACGCTGAAAAATCTATCTTTTTTCCTTTTTTTTGTAAAAAAAAGCGAACTCGTCTGGTCCTTGCATTTTTCACGTGTACTCCGAAAAGTTCGTTACGATCAATTTCAAGAGAGAGAGAGAGTTCTATATAAATTAAAAATGAGATTAAGAGTCTGTAAATGGACTGACGGCATCTTTTTGTAACGAACATAAAAATTCTACGCAGGCAACGTTCGGTGCGCGGACTAATCTGTATTGATTCGCGCTGAAGTTTATTGCGCGCATCAAATGCCCATCGTCGGTCTTTCCCGAGCTTGTTCGTTTATCGAACGATTCTATCTTCGCCCTCGCGCACCATCCCATTTCAGTGTCTTCAAAGAACAGTTACCCGAGATCAGAAACCACGCGGCGAGCTCGATTCACCACCCGCCGTTAAATGATAATGGCAAACAACCTAAATATCGCGGGTTTTCACAACCCAAATAAGGATGTCGAACATCTTCTCTTGAAAGAACCAGGTAACTAAATCAGTCGAGTTTTCACCAAGAGCAATGCTCCGCACGAATTTCCTCGCGAGAGCTATTTTCCGTTAGCAAAACTATATTTATATATCCTGTATTTGAGCGATTAGATAACATATTGTGTTGGCGTCGAAAGGGAACGCGCCACCTCTCAAAATCGCCGCTCTTCTTCGACTAGCGACTATCTCGCCGCTTAGCCCGTGTCCAAATATTTTCTCTGGCATTTCAGAAATTGTGCGACAACGCCTCGTAAACAAACCTAAAAGCTATCCGTTACCGTCCCACGTCGCGTAATCAATTTTCTTGTACGGGATAAACTCGCGCGTACAATAGGCGATACCGTCGCTCGTGCGTGAGCTGATCTTAATCTCCTCATTACGGAAGCCACGTGGATCCGCCGCGTGTACACCGTAAGAGAGAGAAAGAGAGAGAAAGAGAGAGAAAGAGAGAAAAAGAGAGAAAAAGAGAAAGAGAGGCCAATCTTATCGCCATTCAATATTATGACGATCAAAAAATTGCGACCGTCGGATAACGCTAAATTTCGATGTGTATACAGAGAGAACGATTTATTGAATTAAATAAATGTTTCTTTGGAATAGTTCAAACAAATTATTTAATTGACACAACAAAAATATTTCTTTGAAATTAAGCCGCAAATAAATATTTTTGTAACGTCAAACAAAATTTTGTTCGATCAATCAAAAATTGATTTGTTCCATTCGTTTGGACTATTCCAAATAAGTGTTTATTTTATTCAACCAAATCGTTCTCTCTGTGTACTATGCTATTTTTATTATGTACCTACGTAACGTCAGATAACGATTTATTTCGATCTCTCTAATACACTTCTTCTTTTCTGGATATTAATGGAACTGGAGCAGGTGCCCTTTCGCCCAGTCTATATCTAATACACTTGATCGTATTCGCTGAGATGTGACCCAATTTCTCATTTTACAATCGCGCAGATTAATCGAATTTCTATTGTGTTTCGACATAGTACATGATTTTACAGTATACTTGAAACTTAATAGTCGCCTCAAAGTTCCTGAATGTTCTGACTAATTGTACATAAACACACGATAATGATTGCTGTATAGATCTACAGACAAAAGATACAGGCCGTAAAAAAAGATGTACACACTTGCTTGTTAACATATTGTCGATAAAGACTCGATAAGCATGCAGGATATTTCGAACACACGAGATAAACGCGACGGTTTAAACGGACATAAAATGTAATAGCTAATCTTTATTACAACATTTACGCTTTATTGTAAAATGAAAAGCCACATAGTACATTTTTTTTGGACACTCTGTATGTCTATGTGGAGACATACAGCGGTCACAGGCTGATAACGGCTCATGTTTACTTATGATTACATTTGATGGTAATCACGGAAAACGGACGTATCACGTATCGCTTTCTTTCACCGAAAATTTGTTAACTCACAAAGCAAGTTGGATTAACTCTTTTTGTTTACTGAATATTCTTAACTATTCCACCTTTCCCCCTCTCTCTCTTTCTCTCTATAGGGCAATATGTGTAATTCTATATACGTAGATGTATATTCCTTGTTTAATTATTCTATATAAATCAAATTTTTTTATATGATATATTTTATGTCACATTAATTATGCGATAAATTTGTATATCAGATCAAAATTATACACTGAGAAAAAAGTGATTGAGTTAAATAAAATTGATTCAAGCAAACGTTTAGTCGATTGAACGAATATATGGCTGTTGTGATAAAAGTTATCAATTGATTGAATGATTGCGATTTGCTTGATTGACATAGTTCAGTAATTAACACTAACGCGTAATTCGCGTAATTCGCTCAATAGATTCAATATTTCTTTAAAGCAGAATGATTACCGATTTTGTTGATCTAGCTGCTTTTTCTCTCAGTGTAATAAATTTGCATCCCGAAATGAAATTGTAGTCCGTATGTTTCAGTAGAAAAAAATCAGTGCTTCAAAAGCCGAAGCTTTCGTAAACGCATAATAACACAATGGATTTCCTTGTGTATCTTATACTTCTTTGTAATCGTTCGTACACCCGCAGAGCAGTCACGATATCGTACTCCAAATAAAAGCATCTCTCGCGCCTCTGTGTTCTAACGCGGCAAGCGTGGGACCGGAGTGTTATCCACTGCCTTTTGTTTGTGCATAGATATCGATATATGTTTTTATATATATATATATATATATATATATATATATAATCTCTGCATATAATCGCTGTAAATAAAATTTACGGTCAATAATTGTAATTAATACGTTACAAGTAATATTTCCAATTAAAATTTACATTCCCTCTCCGTTAATCACATTATCTCTCTCAGTTGGCGCAACATCATTATTCCGATTAACATTAATCGCTCAATCTGTCGATATCCATTAACACTCGCAACATTAACAAATCTCCGAATATTACTTTTTATTAACGTCATTATATACCGTCGCGTATAACGGCAACGGCGTCAATGTCAATTGGACGCGAGATATGCTCGATTATCGCACGATATCAGTGTCTCTCATTAATATTTTGTCAAATACCGCGTCATTGTCGGCCCGCCCCTCCCCCCACCTCTCAGCACATACCTGGCAGTGTCAGGAGCACGGCTTTTCAGCTCATAGTACATCAAATCCTTGGTGGAAGTCGACAGGAGAGACAGGGTCTGCTCAAAGTCGTAATCGCCGAGGGTGGCGACATGGTGGGCGGTGAGATCGGCGGTCAGTGCGGCCGTCAGGTCGAAGCCCATGTCGACCCCGGACTCGTCCATCGTCGCGGGACGAAGGTGGTAGCGGTGCAGCACGGCGCTTCGAATGTGCCGCGCGTGACGACGCGCGACGAATCGTGGCGAGCCGGGCGAACGCGCGCGTTCGAAAGTTTCGCACTGCGCGCGACTGGTGCGTCGCGTCGCCTCGCGTTGTGGTCGCGAGAAATAACGATGACGGAAACGCGAAAACGACGGAGGATGATGAGGGGAGGAGCGAGTGAGCCGAAAGAGACGTGAGACGTCCGAGGTATGCGTCGCGGGATGCTCGCGAATAAGATGGCGAGGAGATATGGTGCCGATAAGCGGCGAGAAAGGAGAAGAAGAGTGCGAACGGAGTGAGGAAGATGGGAGATGGATCACGGCGCGTAATCGGAAGGCGAGCGGCACCGCGAGGGGACTCCCATTTTGCGGAAGTGTCAAGAATTGTCGCGCGAGTTGTTGCCGTTCGCGATGTACGGCGCGCGTGCACGCGTGCGCGGGCTCGTGGCGTTGTTCGACGGCGCGCGTTCCATCGCCCCTTCGCGCTTTTCCAGCGGTTTTACCTGCGACACTACGGCGACGGCGGCGACGGCAGTGGCGGCGGTGACGGCGACGACGATGACGGCGCGACGATCCACAAGGAGGAAGAGACGCGCGCGACGAGAGACAGCACCGCGACGAGACGAGCGTGATGCGCGCGCGTATCGGTACTACGAGGACCGCCCGCCGAGACCGCCGCGGAAGCGTTGCGGCGCGCGACAACAACGTCTGACTTACGACTACCGCCATCTCGCGACAGCGGGCCGGAGCAGCCCGACCGGCGCGGCGGAAGACTTTGAACTGCCAGCTTGACAATCTTCGCGGACAATCTTCGGCCGCGTAACCTTAGCGCGAGGCCCGTCGAAAGACACTAAATAAACAAATAGTTACGAAAATGTGATACTTTTTTTCTCTTGCCTCATACGTGTCCTTGTATTGTGTATTCTAACTTGTGTTCGTACACGATATACGAGGTGGTGTTACAAATTGGTGAATAGATGTCTAAGAAAAATATTCATCGACACCTATTTGTTTGTCTATCTGTGTTTTATTGCGCAAGTGATTCCCTTCTGCGACAAAAAATCTCAGTATATTTCAAGTTTAATAATTGACTCTTTTAAGAAGCTTGATTTGAATAATGTTGAAATACGAAATTATATTCAACGTATGACGATACAGAAATTGATTTCTGTAATGCATAACCCTGTGCAAAATTATACACGAGATAAAGATACTTTTCGATTCGAACACATATTGACTGCTCCAATTGTCCCATATATAATGTCACAATCTATTTTCTTCTCGAATTAGGTAACCGTTCTAAGAACTACTTAACTGCCTATACTAAACCACAATACAAACACAGACATACGCAAAGACCCGGCCGAAATATAGTATCGTACATATGTGTTTAGTTAAATAAATATGCATCAGCATAAAGCGAGCGATTGTCCAGTGACGCAATTCGCGAGTGTGCTGACAACGATCGTCCACACTGCAACGTTATGACCTCACGCAGTATCGCGAGGTTCGTCAAGATAGCCGTTGCCAATCTACCCAAGAATTAATTAAAAATTACTCGCGAGCAAGTATGCACTCGCGATTATATGTATCTGTGCTATTCATATTTATTTCGTCCGTAACACGCGCGTTCCAGATATTCAATGGGGTCAACGTTTTACCGCCAGAAATCTCGAAACAGCTGGACGACTACTGGCAAACCTATAAGGTGATGTGTTCTTAATATATTACGTTAAAATAATACTAGTGTGTTTTACTCCATATTATTCGTGAGAGTAATTTCAATTTTCTATGATTAATTCTAAAAGGTAATTTTGATATTCTTAAATATATAATTTATAGATCTATTGGATACGTATAAATTAATAATTTTTGATTATATGACTTGCAATTTCAAATGCATATAAGATATGTACACTGAGAGAAAAAATATTTATTCGGTGGTTATTAATAATATATATACTTAAATCTAATTCTTCTATTCTATTACTTAAATCTAAATTCTTCTATTTAAATAAAATATAAACAATTATTTTCGTAAAAAGTTAAAGTTTTAAGAAACTAAGCTTTTAAGAAAATGTATTTTCTTATTTGGAAAATATTTTATATTACTATAAGTACATATTGCTCATTTACTGCAACAATGGCATAACTTAAAAAATATGATTTTTCAAGAGACACGATTTAATGTTTTTAATTGCTATAACTTTGTATGAGAATTTTAAAATACCATTTTAGTATAATTTAATAAAGTAATACTATAAGTAATCGTCGTTTTAGCTGTAAATAGTATATGTACCAAACTTTATACTAATAACTGAATAAAGGTGATTTTCTAGCTATGTCATTGTTGCAGCAAATAAGCGATATATATTATTAGTATCCACCAAATACATGTTTTTAATATGGTAAATATTTTTTCATCTCAGTATGCTTTATAAAATATGACAACAATTCTGTCATATTTGGCACATGGAATACGTTTTGAAAAAAATAATTCAAAATTATAAATAACATTAAGATTCTTCGCAATCGTTCAAAAAGTCAAGTATGGTCAATTTTCTTTTCTTTAAAAGTACTCATTGACAAGTAACACTTAAAAAATTGCTAAAGAAAACGCAATTAAAAACTAAAAAGTGTTTTAAGTGATTAATTTTAAGCACTCATAGTGAGAGAAAAATTTGTAGTCAAATTGGACTTAAATTATATTTTTTGGTTATTCCAAAAGAAAATAGTAGTAATAACATGCATATAAGATTATTATCATTGAAATTATAATAGAATTAACTAAAAAATTGTTGTCTTGACTGTAATTTATAGTAATTATTTCTTCATATGATTATAGTTATAAATACCAAAACATTTTTTTCTCAATAAGGATTAGATTTTCTTTATCTTATGTAAAAAGACATGGACTAATCATTGGTAATAAAAAATTCAAAATCATAATTTTATGGGTTGGATTATTCTTACACAACTATGGTCATTTATCAATCGACTTTCATGTATAAAAAGAGAGAGATATTTATATAATATAATCTAATTGAAATATCTCCTCTACAATGTGTGCGAGAATACATAGCTTCGAATTTGAAAAATTAAAATTACCAATATTTTCAATATTATCAAAATTAATTTCCATACCTTTGATAATATCAAAGATATGTATGTGTGCGTCTCATAAACGATATATGTGTGCGTCTCATAAACGATATATGTGTGCGTCTCATAAACGATATGTGTGTGTCTCATAAACGATATATCGCAAAGTTCCGCTTGTTTTTATCCTACGTAAAGCATATATCGATCATCGTTCCCGCGATACTTCAACAGATGCAGTTTAATAAAACGTACACGAGAAATCAAGAGAACGCGAGACGAATGGCTTGGGAACAAAACCTCGTGGAGATTTATAAACACAACCTAATGGCCGCCGCGGGACATCACAGTTACACACTGCGGGATAACCATATCACTGATCTCAGTAGTTCGCAATATATGCGCAAAATGGTACGTAACCAACAGCGAAACCCGCTGACAAATTTAGCTCGTTAATCTAAATATGCGAAATCCGAATTCTAGTCTACAAGTCTCAAGATCCTTAATTTCAATTTCCGAAATTCAAGTTTCGAGCCTCAAGTCTCAGGAACATTAGTTAAAGTACTCGATGTCCAATTTCCAATCTCATATTTTTGAAGATCCCTAATTGTGTCCAATTAAAGGACCAATTGACGAAAAATCTACATGCACGGATATTCATACATAAATTTGCAACACACCCTTAGAATAATACGTATGTTTCATTCTATATTACTTATAGAATTAATCTTAATTTTCCATGACTAATTCCAAAATATAATTTTTATATTCTTAAATGTATAATTTATAATGTATGATTAAATATATAATTTGTAATTATATAATTTGTAATTTTCCGAATACATATAAAGTATACGCACTGTGTGTGAGAGAAAAATATTTAAAAAATATTTATTCGAGATGTGGCTATTAGTGACATATTTACTTAAATCTAAATTCTTTTATTCAAACAGAATGAACAATTGCTTTCGTGAAAAACCAAATTTTTAGAAAAATGTAAAAATATTTTCGAATTAATTATTATTTGATACCAAAAACATCGACTAATAATCACTACAAACTCGCGCGCCAATATCCGCGCGAGAGCTCTCCTGGTGGCCCGTTATTCCTTTAATTTAATTACACATTCAAAGAGCTCTTATCTTCTACCATCTTATCATCTTTAATTGTCATTTCCTAAGTACAATTCCTAATCAATGCATTACCGAGACCTTCAATATAAAGCTGAGCGAGTCCGTCGCGATACACGAACGGCAATAAAATTGCTTCGACGGGACATTTCCCCCTGTCGATTTCTCTCAGGTAAAACTAATACCGAGCCGAAAGCGCCGATTATCGACCGACTCGATGTTGTCGGCGATCCTGCGGCACGACATACCGGCTCGCCTGGATTGGCGCGAACTCGGTTTCAACACCCCACCGGTGAACCAACGGGAGTGCGGTAGTTGCTACGCTTACTCTGTCGTGGAAAGTATACAGGGACAGATCTTTAAACAGACCGGCATGCTGATCCCCTTGAGCGCACAACAGTTGGTTGATTGCAGCTCGGCGACCGGGAACCGCGGTTGCTCCGGCGGCTCCCTAAGGAATACTTTGAGATATCTGGAAAGGTCGAAGGGTCTCATGGCCAGGTCCCTGTACCCATATCAGGCCCAGGTACGCTCCTACTACACCTGTCGACACGCGACATGTCGCGTCGAAACATCGCGTGCTAAACAAATCGATTTCTCGCACGATTTGCAAAAGCGCTACGAAACGTTCAATGTCCCTCAAACTTCCAAATGTGAAGAAAATCCCTTTGTTTCCGCCTTCTTTCCTTCCTTCGTTCGAAAAATACTCGCTCCCGATAACCCCGCGAAAGTTTTCTCTTGGAGCTCAATCGCGAAACTAATCGGCCACACGAATTTATCGGACAGACCTTCTTGCTCTGAACGCTAGGCGGAACAGTGAGTCTGAGTTTCTGGATTTTCACTGGGCCGTAGCACACAATAATACGTTGTTGGCGGCCACGAACGAAGACGCTGAGACAGTGCGAATGTAATTATCGCGGTGAAGAGACAAACGTAAAGGTCGTTTTCATTATTCCGCGGAATGCCGCACCGCTCGGAAATATCAGAAAAACTCGTGGAAGATTTCGTGGAAGATTTTGACGAGAGGAGGATCCAGAATTATATGTCGATAACGCAATTATCTTCCGTAATACAACTCGACTGACCGACTGACCTTATTTCGTCACTCTTTTTTATTAATAGATATATTTTGGATAGTTATGTCACACATGAAGAATGCATGTGTTTCGCAAAAGTGTAAAAAAAAGTGCGCTTATCTAATCCGGTTAATTTAGTTGAACACACAATGTGTCCAATCGCTCAACGGGAAAATACTCGACGTGTGACAGACACGCGCGATGCAGCAATGTCAATGAATTTCGCGAGCAAAAATTTTCTAGGATCGCTTCCCGTTCGACGCGACGCTACTCTCTATCGATATATAGTATTGCGTTGAATTGAATTTATAAGAAGCGCGTACTATATATTTACTATTTAATTAACGTCATTGAGGAAAAAGCGACATGCAGTTATGGCCGAAATGACTCAGCAAGATGCTCAATACGTTTATCTTTTCCGAAAAATTGTTTTGCGCTTCTTTTTTTTGTCGTTTCCACATTTCAATCCAATTGCGCTAATATCGCGCCGAATTATGCGTTATTCTATTCACAGATGAATTTAATTGTAAATCCTGTGCGTATCTACCCAACAATCAATTTACGCAAGCACTACACTGTAAAAACTAATGTGTCAAATTAAACACATTTCATGTGTCCCAAATCATTCACTCTCATTTATGTGTAAATTTAATACAAAAGAAATGTGTTAAAAAGTAACATGCATAACATGGAAAAAATTAATACAAGAATTTAACACTTGAACTCTTAGGAATCACAGGTTGTGTTAAATTGACATATTTAATATGTCAGACATAGATTATGCCAATTTAACATTTTCATTTCATCAAAATCGTAGATTAATACTTCTCTCAAATTTTAAAATTTTATTTTAATTAATTTAACATTATATATATGTCAATTTAACACAAACTGTGATTCCTGACGGTATTCAAGTGTTAAATTCTTGTGTTAATTTTTCTCATATTATGCGTGTTATTTTTTACTACATTTGTTTTGTGTTAAATTTATACATAAATGAGAGTGAATGATCTGGGACATATGAAATGTTAAATTTAACACATCAGTTTTTTACAGTGTAGTGATAAATATAGTAATTCCGATAATAATTTCATGCAACGATAAATCCAATCGTATGCACTTCGGGAACAAGAGATTAATTTCGAGCTCGGAATATTTTAAGAGTGATCGTTCTTGCGCGCAGCGCAAACACACGTGCGACTTGAACATCTCGAACGCGAGCGAACGATTTCTCTACACTCTGAGAGCAATTAATTCACATTGAATTATTACTATCGAGCCATTCTGCGTTCAGTGGCGTTCGAGACAGACAGATTTTACGATCGTACCAAAAGAAACGAGAGAAACTTGAATATTTCAGGAGGGCCAGTGCAAATTTCATAGAGATCTGAGCGTCGTCAATATAACATCATGGGCGATTCTGCCGGCGCGGGACGAAGAGGCTCTGGAGGCGGCAGTGGCGAGCGTCGGTCCCATAGCCGTGTCCATAAACGCCATGCCGAAGACGTTTCAGCTTTATCAGTGAGTATTTTACCAGCGAGTTTTGTTTGCTGGCCTGCGGGGAGAAAAAGCGCGGCCGTGCGAATTGCCACTAATGAGCAAATGACGTGTGCGCGACACGTTCGCGAAATATGCGATAATTTTAGACACCTGCATTCAAGAGAATACGCGCTGCGCATTAAGACACTTGCTCGTATTGAGATCCGCGAAGCTCTGCGCTCGCAATCCCCGAGCGGCTCGATCAACTATCAATTTTCAGGGAAGAGGAAGAGAGGGAGGGTGGGAATACACTCGTCACTACGACGAGATGCTTTCGCGAATTATGACGCCTCAAAGCGCGCGGCTCATAAATTGAAAATTCCGCCGATAACTGACGCGACGGTAACAAACAATTTTTTCTCTTTCGCGCAGATAACTAATCAATCGTAATCCGGCAATAAATTAGTGAATATTTCAGTCACAACCCCCTGACCAGCGCGACCTCTCGAAAGCTACGCTTAAACGAAAACATCAAGCGCGAGCAATACCTTCCTCTCCGTTCACGTCGCCGTCGGTTTAATCCGGATCCACCTTTGATTGATCGCAGCCGATTATTATCGCCAATCTGGAATTACGAGTTCACTTCGCTACGTATCGGCTGTCGCATGCGCCGTGAGTCTCGCCGTTTTTTAAATAACTGAATAAAATTAATCGATTGAGAAATGATAATGAATTTAAAGAACAATAGTCGAGTGTACTCTCTGAGTGAATTTCTCCGAATGAAATTCCAGTAGAAGAATAAAGTGACAGCTGTGTCACTTGAAGTTGAACTTCTCCCTCGTACAGAGTGAATTATTCGACCCGAGTGTTATTCGAGTCGAGTAATGTTCTTACTTGAGATTGAAGAGTGGATCGAATGTACTTCACCGTCATTGAAACAAATTTATTCTGATCGACTGAAACATTTACACGTACGGTTTAAGAATTTATTCCAAGTTTTAATTAACATCGTTGCAGTTATCGCCGTGATACTATCGCGTCTTATTAAATTACATAAACAAAGTACATTAAGAAAAAAATACCTAAAAAATATCTATTCGGTGAGTGCTAATAACATATTTATTTCAATTTAAATTCTTTTATTCAAATAAAATAAACAATCGTACAAAAATGTAGTCTCTCATTCGAAAGAAACTTTTTTTCCTATTTTTTAGATATTTCTTCTCTCATACAATTAATTGTGCCTGTAAACTTTGTTGTGCGGTCAATAATGAACTAAGAAAACAAGATAAAATGTACATGTATCTCAAATTATTTTTATTAATCCTATCTTTAGTAAATTTTATCATCAGCCGATTATTAGTGCAACAGTCTGCGCGTGAAAAATACTCACTCTTGTAATTTCCAATGGCGATATTTTCACTGTCGCTTCTACACTGAGAAAAAAATGTATGATATTTGGAACTATAATGGCATAGTAAAAAGATTATAATTAGGAATATAATTTTTATAGTAAATATTACCATAATATTTGTAATATTTACAATATGAGTATAGTATAACTGACCCGTGTAAAATTTTTACCAAGAATTATAATTATTTGAAATAAAAACTATAGTAAGGTAGCAAATATTGAATGGTAAGAGAAATTAACTATTTTATATAGTCAATACAATTGGAATATTTGGCAAATATAGGTATATATAACTATATTCCCAAAAGATACTTTACCATATATATAGAGTAATAAGATGGTGACTATAAATCTGTGTTTATTCTACTATAACTTCACGTTTAGATGAACTATAAATATATGTTTGAGGCCAAAACGAACTATAAAATATAGTGAGATTATAGTTATTCCAACTATTTTTTTCTCTCAGTGTAGCGAATCTTCACTTTGAATGAGATCTCACTCGAAAAATTTCAGAGACTACAAGTACTCGGACATCGATATTCGTTCGTAACATTCGGTTGCACGTAGAGGTCGAAAAATTCGTCTAAGATCCCGCGGTCGAAGACACGTTCGAGGAAATTAGTCTACCAGCGCGAGATAACCTCCTAATGTCGTAGCCGAAGCGATGACCCTTCATCATTCGTAAGAACGTCGAAAGTCGCGGTCATTAAACCTGCGTCGAAAGGACGCGATATCGAATCGAGATTTTCCATTTTCCATTTTCCCGGGCGCCACGCTGCCCGAGCTCCGTCATTCCCGACAAACAAACAAACGGAAAGCAATTACGAAATGACCACGCCACTCGAAGACGATAGCGATTCGCGAAGACTCGCGACCGTTTCGTAAGTCCGCGACAAATAGAAGATGTCGCGATCACGAAAACACGAGAGATCAATAGTATAAACAGACTATTAATGTGCAAACGCGATGCATCAGTGATCGCGCGTATACATATGCTGCTCTTGCGTGGATCGCGCGAGTTCAATGTCAATCATTCCCCGCGTTTTCTAATTGATACAACGCGCGATGCAACTTCTCTGCTTCCCCGCCGCGATCTTAATTTCGCGTATACGACGCGTGCCGAAGCTCCACACGCGAAACGAACATCTGCTTTATCTATCGTTCATTTCATAGATAATATTTTAATATTTCCTTAATTTTTAATATTTCTTTAATATCCTTTTAATATTTCTGTTCTAATTCTGAATTGAAAATTCATGTTTGAGACAAGAATAGGATCCTCAATTGGTATCGAAGTGGGATAATCTATTTTGGAACAAAGTTGAACATTCTGATTGGAATCTAAACTGCATTTGAGAAAATATTAAAGAATTTTTATGTGGGTTTTACGTTACAGAAGGAACATATGTAATTTTGTGTAGATTAGAGAGAAAATGATCTCTTTGAGCTGGAAGCTGATTTGATATGTTAATCGGCCTTTCCGTCCGCAGCAAAGGCGTCTACGACGACCACCTGTGCAGCTCGGACGCGGTGAACCACGCAATGCTGATTGTCGGATACACGCCGACCGAATGGATTCTGAAGAACTGGTGGGGCGAGAACTGGGGCGAGAACGGCTACATGCGACTGGCGAAAAATAAAAATCGTTGCGGTGTCGCGAACTACGCGGCCTACGTGAAAGTTTGAAATTCGTCATTCTCCAGCTCGGTCAAGACGCCCCGCCAACCCTCTCGCGTATCTCAAGCGAATATGTATTTGATTATTTATTTTTACACACGATAACTACTGCGATGAGTGTCGTATGATAAATCAATTAGTTTCACCAAAGAGACAAATAAATCTGTTGTTTTTTCTACGTGAAAAAAAATATTTGCCGTCATTTTCGCGTCAGCTGTAGCTCTAGGATCAATGACAAAAATATATGAACAAGTAGAAAGCGTTGGTTTCGACGATTTACGCTTATGTGCGGATTTACGTGCGATATAGTCCTACAGCGGCGCTCTGCGCCGTTTTAGGGTTAAAGATCGCACGTATCCGAGCCATTAAACTCCGGGCAATTACTAAGGATCGCCAAACATTTATTACATAACAGCCACTAAACCGCAGGACGGACGCTCGAATGCCAGATACCAGACTTCCGTGACCACACGGGGATCCCGGGAAATTTAATCGGACCGTACAACCGCGGCACGATAGGAACGCCGAGACTTTGCCCGATCGAAAATTCTGTCCGAAGACGAAGTACACGACTAGTCGGGACATATCGCCATGGCATTTCCGCGAGAGAGCGAGAAATACGGCAGCAGAGGACGATCCAATTTGTGCAACTGTAGGTAGATAGGTAGGACTCGATGGACACTAACCGCGTGACGCAACGTCAGGCGAACGTCATGTAACCGCATAGTGCAGCGCGGTGACATAAATCCAGGGACGCATCCCGCGTGCGATTCGCGCACGCACATTCGAGCACGCGGGATATCGCTAAAGGAGACACGGATCTGCCATCCACTGCGACGGCAGAGGCGTGATCGTAAGTTTTGCAAAAGATATCCTTATACAATCACAAATCATCACGTGGCTGTAAAATAGCACGAGAAAAATTTCATATCAGTTGACGGGTAAAACGTCCAATTAGTGACATCTCCTTGGACACTGACACTCTAGAAGAAGTTGACTTCCTTCGACCAGCGTTGCAGTTAAACTTCTTGCTCGCCCTCAATGATTTCAATAGAAAACTTCGCAACTAAAACTGTGAGCAATCGTAATTGGTCGCAAGGAAAAACAGACTTTTCTAGAGTGTCAATGGCAATGAGGGGGACCAATAATTGGGTGTTTCGACCTACTTTTAATTACGGATTGAATCGATAAACGTCTTCGGAAGATTTGACAATTAGTGACGTGCCTTTTTTCGTGCGCAAGATTTTGTTTGTCGCATGTTTCAAAAATGGCGCGCGAGGTGGTCTCTGAGAGCAGAATCTTAGGAAACACCTCGTACTTCATCACGCATGTCTCAACATAAAAAATATAGATATTCGAGAGAGAAAGAGAGAGAGAAAGAGAAAGAAGCTGGCGGCTTGCCACCGTCCATCTCGTAAGCTTCCGCGATTAAACGTACAAATAATAGCGCGCCCGACGAATAAAAGCTTTACTCGAACGATTGCACGTCGCGTCCCGGACGATATGCAGCGCGGCGGAAAGAATCCCGAGGAGCAATATGTCCGGAATGCATTGTCGCAGCTTGGAGCCCGCCCTGATTTTCCGATATCACACGCGTGGTCCCGAGACCACGCAAATTCCATCTCTCCGTTCGGAGGTCGCCGCGACTCATTGTTCACCGAATGGCAACGTGCAATCCGTCCCAGCAACAGCATCCACGATTGTTACCCAGCATCTCTATCTGTTTCCCATCTGTTAAGCAACGTCGCGATGCATCCCGTCGTGTCTCATCCTGTGGACGGTCTGTTATCGGCAGCCCGACGCGACCTGGCGTCGCAAGCTCGCCTCTCACACCCCGAACATCATTCAGCGAAATATGTTGATCTTTTCACTAGCACGCGGATAATGCATTTATTTCAGTCGATAACAATTTCAGAGCAACAATTCGCGAAGGGAAAAGGATAGAGATTCTGGAGGCATACGGAACGACGCGTGTGTGAGTCCAGCGATACGCTTCAATTTCATACATCCTAATTTACTTGATTTTTGCATTCAGTATCTACTTCACGAAAGCATGTACAGATGAAAATTGTACATCTTAGGACAATTAAAGAAATTCGTTTTTTTTTATAATAACGAGCTTGCACAAGATTTAATTTTCAGAGGAGATATATTCCAGAAGAATCTAATTAAATGACATTTCGTATTAAGCTGGGGAGCTTGAGCGGCTTTTATAGACGTACAGCAAAGAAAAAGTAGTGCCGACGACAGTGAAATTTTACGAGCTAACGGAACCTAGCGGACAGACTTAAGGCTACTTAATGGACAATGCAGCTGCTGCGAAACGACGAAACGGCGCAAAGTCGATATTTTTCTAAAGCTGCTAGGAGTATCGCCGGCGCTTGTTAAGTAACGACTTAAAACCTATGACGATAAAGATATAAAGCGGATATCTCCCGGATATAGAGAAAAGTAAATCTCACAGAGGAGAGCAAAAGATTATACAGAATCGAATGGATGTCTTACTGAGACTGCTCGAGGATTAAGTGGATGCTAAACTCTCGTATCGCCAGACACCCAACACTTTCGTTCAAGTTTTAATAACGCCATTAATACGCTGACGGTTTTGGAGTATTATGACCCAAGTTTATTTATCACTCGAGCGCGTGCTTTAATGGACACTACGGCAAAACTACGGCTATAATTAATTCCTCGAATTATATTATTTCTCTTCGGATGTTGTTTGAGAAATTTTACCGTGAGTTGTTAATTGAAAGAAAAGGATCTTGTGCGAAATATAATCCCATCGAACACGTCAATTTTTACTCTTATTATAAACGTAAGGAAATCTCGAGCGGAAAAACTCGTTATTGATTCCCGGTCGTTGCAGGAAACAAGAACGAGAAATGAGCTAAAGGCAAGCAAGAAAAATTCGAAGAGGAAAGAAAGCCGCGAAGCAATACCTGGTCGAGTTATTGTGAGAGATCCGACGAGACGAGTCTCCAACTCTCTTGCCTTCTCTCTCTCTCTCTCCTCTCTTTTGCGAAGACTCCGCACGGAATATAATCGTTCGTAATCGGATCAAGAGGAGTAACATCCTGATTTACGAACTTGCTTCTCCTTCGCCGGGTCGCCGCTCTAATCGCCCTTATCTCTCATTCTCACAGCCTTCCGTCTCTCCCGTGAGACCGGGCCAGGAATAACTCGGCGAAGGCGAGCACAGGCTGATCGTCGCCATGGGAAAATCGCGATCCCGCTCTCAACGTTGCCGTGAATCCTATCGATTGCTCGGATTCACTCTCGCGTGCTGTGAACGGCGCTTCCGATCTTACTCTATCGGACGTTCTCAATGATCCTTATTACGATAACGATAATCTCGATGTCGTATGAAAAAAAATGGAGCGAACGAAAAAGGAGGAGAAAATGAAATTTTGTCCCTGTTACTCGCGATATTAAATATTGCCGCGACAAGGTGGATTTTTTTTATCAACTACTCCTGTGTATCTACGCGGGCCGACAAAGTCGATAGAGCAAAGTCGAGGGGAAAGGTGTCCCGGTAATTTCCGCATGATTCACGGTTATTTTCGACGTTTCCAGTGTGTTTTTCATTTCGTCTCCGCGCACCGCGCCGGCAGCATGACGAATGGCAGGCGAACAAAAGGGAAAATAAATAAGAGCGTGGATTCTCAGTATGCCACGAGCTTTCATCGTCCGCTTTATCCTTATCCTCGCACGTACGAGGAGTCACGGAAAATGTGAGAGCAACAGAATTTATCGTCCTCTAGGACGAAGTCCCTTAAGAGCGTCCGAAGTACGTGCACGCACGTACACACGCACATCCCCGAATAATGCAACGGGCTGAATAACGAATTGCAGCGTCGTCATATATCACGATATCCGTAAACAACGGTGTTACATCTGCAAACTTTGATCGCGTTGCTTAATATTATGACCGCTGTAAGATCACTAGCGCTCATAATGAAACGTTATTCACATAGTTGATTAAATTTTTGTACTATATATAAAATATAGAAAATGCCTACGTGATCAATAATGATCCGAACTGCCGAGGATTTTTAAAATAATATTTTGAATTAAGAAATATAGCAAAAGTAAGATGTTCAAATATACAAATAGAAATAGGAAAAACACGAATAAAATTTCGATTTTACGTTCCCGCAAATCCCGCAAATCCCGCAAATTCTATCAAACTTAAATGATCAATAAAAAATTTTAAAATACAGCACTGTATAGTCTTACACTGAGAGAAAAATATTTAGAAATTTATTTGTGGTTTGTAAAATTCATTTACAGAAATTAACTTTATATCCTAGAAATAAATTTTTAAGTATTTTTTCTCAGTGTAATTTAATAGTAGAAATGACTCATTATTGTTATTTCTTTTATATTAAGGCTTGAGGAAAGATTTATATATATATATTTTTTAGAATTGATTGTTCAATTGATTTCAAATGATTTCAATGTTTTATTTAATATTTAATATTTAATATTTAGTATTTAATTTAATATTTTATTAATATAATATCAAAATTTCGACTCGGAAATACTGTCACAAAATCACTCACGCTATATACACGCTATATGCGGAAAAGGATTAGCCGCAGGAACTAAAATATATAGTGTAATAGCTAAGATGTGTTACTGAAATAGAGACAATTTAATGTCGTTGCTACAACGAATCTAAATGTATTAGCTACACTAAAAAAATAGCTGAAAATTGATTTGCTGGATATAAAGTTTATTTCTGTGAGTAAACGCTGTATCCTAAATAAATATTCAAATATATATTTCACAGTGTATTTAAACTTTGATGCTACGATAAAAAATATTCGATAGAAAGAAAATTTCCATCATTACGATTTCATTTTTCTTTTAAATTGCATTTTATATCCTTCAAAAGCATAAAACTGTCACCTCGCATTACAAATCAAAATCAAGGTTCCTCATTGATTATTAATATAAATTAATAATTAGTGTACCTTAATATGAGCACAAAAGCCGATGTTTTTTGTACTTACATAACTACTACGTCTGATCCTTATTCTATAAGAAGACGATTCTACGTTCATCGGAAACACGACAATTTCCCCTTTCCAATAATTCTTGTTTCAAGTCACTACGACGTCTAGAAGTAAAGTTATTGACGATTGTATCGATCCGCGTTGTACATCGCTCAGCGTTATTGCTGTAGCGAGCCGTAGATAAGTCACTACGCGACGCTTGAATGGAATGCGGAACGTGACTATTGTTTCCGGTGAGTCACCTTACGCTGTAAGTGAAAGTATGCCGACCCCCACTCCGCGACTCAAATAAGCATTGCGTACCGCCCACTTATTCACCGCGGGCACGCAATCGTTCATCTCACTTTAGAAGCAAGCAGCGCGCCGACGCGAGAGCAAGTGCTAGCGTCGCACGAAATTCGAGCTCCAACCAGATATCGATGCCGCAACTTTAAACGACTATAACTCGCAAATCAGCCGACGTAACAACATGAAATAAAAGAAAACCTTTTTGCCACGCATTCCTACACGCGTCTATATCACTTTTTCATTGTTTTGGAACAATGGAGTGTCATGTCAATTAAAGTACAAACTAGTTAAATTAAATATAAAAATCTTGTAACACATTTTATATAAACTCTACCACGGCAATTATTAAA